GCCTTCTCTTGATGCTGTTTAAGTGCTTTGAACAGGCTCAGTGCCTACACAGACAGATCTGAAGGTATGTGTGGATGTTAACACTTAGCTGATATTATGTGTAAAGATTCAGATTGCCATTATCAGTGACATTTAGTATGAGCAAACCCCTGTATGCCTCCTGCCTTTATGCAAGGTTGCATATATTTCAGTGGGCTTATGAATATGAAGAGCAGCAGTGATGTGGGGGAGGGCAGATGGAGAGAGAAAGGTACTGTAGGTCTGTATGGGATAGTGGCAGGATGGCTGTTGGTGACAGGCTCTTGTAGTGTCTCGTCTGCTCCAGTGATCCCAGGGAATCTGGGTCATTTCCAGCCTGTTCACATGTAACTATTCCCCACTCCTTCCCTCCCTCTGCCCAGGGCAAGCTACGACCCAGCTACATGCTAATGATGACACAGAATAAATGTACGTATCGCATCTTACCGGAAATTGGGAGGAAACTGAGGTCTGTGGTCTGCAGCAGGCTGCACCACACCTCTGTTCTGTATCATCCCTCTTTTTTACTTGTAATCCCCTCTGTGTTACTGTTTGTCACTGAGCTGCCTCCCACCTTCAGGAACTAATGTGTATCAAGCTTTCCTTGGAAATAATCTTCTCAGGCAGTTTAATGCATTGACAGATCGGCTTCATAAGCTGCTGGTTGTGTCCATGAAGTTCTACAGAGCCTTCAGTTTATAGTATTAAACTTACTGTTGACAACCTACATGTACATAAAGTTAAACAGGGATTCTATGTTATTTTACTTTAATTTGAAAGCTATAATATTTTTGACTCCACATTTCACATGATCCTTGACAGCAAATGGACTTTGTGGTGGTTACGGAGTCGAAGCTTTTAGTTTTTCTCAACACTTTAAAGACTTTTTGTAGTTAATATTTTGCCTTTATTAAATTAAGAAACACAATGCTGCTGTCTAATATCTACAGAGGGTTGACAAGAAAAACCTCAAAGCATAGACATGAATGAAATGCAGCACAAAAACCCTGCAGCAGTTATTTTTCCAAAAGTTAGTTTTTGTTGCAGCTCTGTCAGTGTTAAAATACATTTCTATTTATTTTCAGGCCACAGCTTGAGGTATGCTGGGTTGGATTATATTGTCAGGTGTTCCTGTTATTTTGTTCACACCCTGTACCTTACAGCTCTTGTTTTGAATCTGGTTCACCTGAGGTTCAGACTAGGCTGATTTTAGTGTGCGGTTATAACTTTATGTGCACAAAAATAAACAAGGGAATCTTTATTGAAATAATAATAATAGTAATAATGATAATAAAAACATCCATTTAAAAATCACCCACAGGTCATCTATAGAAATCTACAACACCATCAAAATCTGTTTAGTCTGACAGAAGACAGGCTGCAGGGATGGCAGTGGGATCCATGAAACAAATGGACAAAAGAGTGAAAAAACAGATGTGTTTGAATGAGAACCACTGTGTTGCTGTGCTGAATGTGCGGAGATATTGGTGTCAGGAGGCCTACTATCTCCTGACACAGTGACATAGGCCTGGACTCATTCAGATACAGTAGAGCTTATACCACCTCGCCTGAGTCTATTTAAGATGACAATATAATATGTATCATTTTATATGGAGGGAAAAATGAAATGAGGAAGGCGACCACGAGAAATGCGAGCATTTATAATAACAGCACTCGGTACAGCGCCTACATCCGCCAAGGCCAAACAGTCCTACATGTGTCTTTTCTTCCCAAGTAGCCTATAGCTTTATTTTTTTATTGTCTTCAATCCTGACAGCTGTATGGTTTAATTACCTGCCGTGTGTAATGAAGACGTCAGTATTGTACAATTCATATACAGCTGTGTGAATTGTACCATTCCTATGTGGCAGTCGCTACTGTTATTGTGTAATTTTTATTAGCTGCAAGTTGAATGAAATACTGATGTAAACATTCCTAAATGGTGGCTCCATGTGCACTGTTACTCTCTATTAACAATGAGTAGCCTATACAATTATGTGTGAATTCACGTACGGATTCAGCATTTCGTCCACCAGATCCGGATTATTATCAGGATCTGCACCAAACTGAAGAAACAGGCCTATGTTTGATTTTTTTTCTTTTAACTACATCTATAGCTACATTATTTCATGAGCAATTGACAAAAATGTCGGAAAATGCTCTATCTCTCAATGTTAAGAGAGTGATTCTTAAAAAAAAAAAAAAAAAAAAGAATCCTGGATCCGCCCCTTTAACCGGATTCGCACCAAACTTTAATGGCTCATGTCCAGTCCCTCCAACAAGTTTGGTGCAAATCGGTTCGGAGGGTCTACTTTTTGCGTAATCCTGCTGACAAAAAAACAAACAAAACAACCAACAAACAAACAGACAGGTGAAAACATACACTACATGACGGAGGTGATTTAAATAGGGGCCTATTTGCGGGGTTTCCTACAATCTTAGTACGCGGAGAATCTAGCCACCTGTTTATTAGCGCAGTAATACTAAAGCAAAAATTCACTAGAAGAAAAAAAAACATGACCAGACCTTTTATTTTACGTTATGAATATTTAAACAGTACCTATAAGGTAGACGTGTTGCTTACAGAGCATAGTCTGCAATTGTTATTTCCAGCCCTCCGTTTAAGAGATCCAAAACTCGCCTATATTTTATTGATGCGCGCTTCCTAGAAAAGGTATTGCAGTGCTTGTAAATTTAGGTTGGGACGTGCAGCCTGCAGGGATGAAATATTTACAGACAGCTGAATATTTCAGGCCAGCACCTTGTCAGTCTCCCTCGCATTTTACTTCCGCGGCAGCTTCAGAAGGAAGTCTTATTCTTTATTTACCAATATTTACCGGTTGCTGTAATAACATGGGTGAATGAACTGCGACCTCGATAGACAGAATAGTCTGTTCATCGCTTCTCCTCCATAGTGGCCACTCTATCTGCTATAAATGGGCACTTTGATAAAGATGATGCGACCTATTTCTTTGTCAAAGCAGGCCAATCTATTACAAACACATAGGCACCATCATCATCCTTTATTATTAAGATTTTTTTTAAATCTGTAATGATGATGCAGTCTCCAGAAAACCAGCAAGAGAATGAGCAGCTTCCTGCGCAGAAGGCATTTCATAACCCCGCATCAAGAGTCTATAATTCATGCAAAAAGAGCCCGAAGGGGATTTAGCTCCAGTGTGTGGGGCGTGCGTGCATGCGCATGCACGATAGACAGAGAGAGAGAGGGAGAGAGAGAGAGAGAGAGAGTGTGTGTGTGAGGGGGGTGTATCTGTGAAAATAATATCAGGCTTTTCCGTCAGAATGAACTTTACTACTGTATCCAGCCATGAAATAATCTGACCCGACACTTCAAACCATCTGCGCTATCTATCCGCCCTCTTATTTACTAAATCAGCCTGTGCACAAAACGGAGTGTGCCTGATACTAAAGCCGAGTAGCCTGGCAGGACCATGATAATCCTATATACACACAAATACAACGTTTCTCCCCTGCTACGTTTTACAGCTATCACAGCTTGGAAGCAGCCTCCCTGCGCTGATGCTGTCGGTACTGATACAACCATATTGTAAATATAAGCTACTGTAAGTCTGCAGGGCACACCATCACACACACACACACACACACACACACACACACACACACACACACACACACACACACACACACACACTATAACAGCAGTCAATTAGCCTGTGTTTTCAAAAAGAGCATTTATTCCTGTCCCACATAAAAGAGCATGCATCATGATAACTTAGGCTCTAATGTAATTTATTATGATTAATAAATGAAGATTTTGTGAGCTTTAAAACAACGTGGGGACTAACTCTCTTGAAGGTTGTGAAACTGTGTATGAAATAAAAGCCACATCGACCATTAAAAGAAAAAACAAAAAAAACCAACAATTTATCATTGATGACTTAGTCTATAAAAGGATATTGAACATATCTGGATATAAAAATGAACTATAATCTTATTTTAAAAAAGGAGGCATACATTCAGATTGTAGGTTATAAAACCCCCTCACAATGTGGGCTTTAGTAGGCCTATTAACCTATAGGCCTAATGAGACTGTGGATTAAAAAATATAGCGCATCACAAGTGAGGTCAATATAAATGTTACAACTGAGTGGAGCAAGCTAAACACAGTATAAATATCTACAGTGTAAATATTGTCTAAAATGTACACAACACTGCCTAATGTTATCTAGTGAACTCATGGCAGGACGGGGGCAGCCGATAGTCAGCGGGGATGTGTCATTTTGCCTGTTTCAAGAGCTGTAAAGGGAGACTGAGCTGAGCGTGTTTGCCTGCTTTGGCACTTCACTATATAGACTGAAGAGTCTTTCTTTAACACCGCCCGCCGCACAAAGGCAGCGGTTGTTTGGAAAGCACGGTGGGGCAGCTAAACGTTTGAAGACTGCGAAGCAAAAAGGTCAAAATGTTTATATTATTTTTAAAAAGGGAGGTGCTGAGATCTCCTTTCCGCCTGATTGGCCGAACTTGACAGTGATTGACGTGCATCCATGGCAACCGGGCAGCCAATCTGCCAAGTCCAATAGGAAATCATCGGAGGGGGCTTGACTGTCTTTTTCTCCCCCCTTGAAAAATACATCTCGGCTCCGGCTTTAATTCTTTCGTAGGCTACTTTCAATCCCAGCCTACCTTGAAAAATACATCGCTGCTCCGGTTTTAATTTTCTTGCACCTTCAGCCCTTTGCCTGCCAAGTTTGCCAAGCGCGAGGATGCGGTAGCCGGCCCCCACGCAGCATCGTTCCTTCCTCCGCGGCGCTTGGTGTTTGCGTTTTTCACGGCTGGTCAGACGACTGGTTCGGTAACTTTGGGATTGCCTTGTTTTTTTTGGGGTGTCTTGGATTGCCTTGGCTCACGGAAAGAAGACGCGGAGGACTCGACGCGGAGGAGAGAGAGAGAGAGAGAGAGAGGAGAAAGGAGGGGGAGAGGGAAACACAGGAGAAGCCTCCATGTTTCAGCTGCCCATCTTGAATTTCAGCCCCCAGCAGGTCGCCGGGGTCTGCGAGACTCTGGAGGAGAGCGGGGACGTCGAGCGCCTCGGCCGCTTCCTCTGGTCGCTTCCCGTAGCGCCAGCGGCCTGCGAGGTCCTCAACAAGAACGAGTCGGTGTTGAGGGCCCGGGCCGTCGTCGCCTTCCACACCGGCAATTTCCGTGAACTTTACCATATCCTGGAGAACCACAAGTTCACCAAAGAGTCGCACACGAAGCTGCAGGCGCTCTGGCTCGAAGCGCACTACCAGGAGGCTGAGAAGCTGCGGGGACGCCCGCTGGGGCCGGTGGACAAATACAGGGTGCGGAAGAAGTTCCCCTTACCCAGAACCATCTGGGATGGAGAGCAGAAAACCCACTGCTTCAAGGAGAGAACCCGGCACTTGTTAAGAGAATGGTATTTGCAGGATCCCTACCCGAACCCCAGTAAAAAGAGGGAGCTTGCACAGGCTACTGGACTTACACCCACACAAGTAGGAAACTGGTTCAAAAATCGCAGACAAAGAGACAGAGCGGCGGCTGCGAAGAACAGGTGAGCTGCATGCATCTCGTGGATGGTTTCTGATCATGATACCTGCAGCAGTAAGCAAACAATTTGGTCACAGTAGAGATGAAAAACACCCTGCATCCGGACTCGATCTATGCACCATGTGTTTTAATATATACATTCATTTTAATATAAAAAAAACAGGCCGTAACCCACGCTGCTTGGAGCCATTCGATTCTGTCATTTCTCCGAATACACAATCATCCTGTAATCCCCAAATCAGAGGGCTTTATCTTTTGTAATAAATGCTGCTCACAGTGTCTATAATGAAATTATATTTTAAGGAGATTGAAATGCAGAAAATGTGCAGCCAGTAAGAGTGACATTAAAAAAAATATTGGGAGAGCAAATAGATTATTGGGAGAACAAAGCTCTGGATAAATGGTTTCACTCGTAATTGTTGTGAATAGGATTAAAACCAATACTGGAGGCAACATTCAGGCTAACGCGGGCATTTGAGCTACATTAATTTGCTACTTTATGCTTATTTGATTGTTATTACACACTGGTAGGCAAGTGGCTCTGTCACATTATTTTATTTTAAACGCTAATGCGATAATTGCCAAGTCCAATTGTCGTCACTCTGTTGAAAGGCCTGTTTGCAGCGTGGGTCGAGGTCACACTTCTGTAGTGGTCATTATTAATGTAGTTAAAATAGCCTATAATTTTCCAGTGGATACCGACATGAATGGTGTAAGCTATACATTCATTAGTGAGACCATTTGAAATCTACAGGTCTATCTATGGTCTTGTTGTGGAAATCTAAAATTGATAATTGATAACTGATAACATAACAGTGCTATTTGTTTTTATTAAGGATATTTTCAACAATGCACACCCCCACCAAAAATGGCACTTTTTGGTAATTTGATTTTATAATGTGAATGTGAAAGTGAAAATGACAAAAAAAACAATATCATGGTTTGAAACAGTCCAATTTCTTTCACTCCTTTTGTTTCAGGAAATTTTTTAGACATTCAATATTTTTTTTTTTAGAAAAACAGCAGGAAATGCATCTACAAAATAAAATGACCATCAGTTCAAGAACCTCATAGGAAGAAACTGTTGTGCAACTAGATTATTTTCTCATCCTTTTTTTCAAACATTTGTCAGGGGGGGAAACACTCATTTTGGCAACACTGAAAAGACTAAACGCCCTGCACTGTAGCCGTTTTCACGCCATGTTGTCCCTCTGTCTGTCAGGCTCCAGCAGCAGGTCCTGTCCGGCGGCTCGGTTCGATCCCTGGCGGACGAGGACGGCACCGTGGACCGCTTGGGGAACTCGTCCAGTCCGGAGGCCAGTCTCTCCAGCAAAGCAGCCGCCTCGGCCATCTCCATCACCTCCAGCGACAGTGAATGTGACATCTGACGGGCAGATCGAGGGTGTTGATGAATTAAAGAGGGATACGAGTGAAAGACAATCTAATAAAACAAGTCATAGTGCCTGCGTTGAGTTAAAAAAAAAAAAACACATACACACATACACACACACATACAAACTGATATTGACTGATATTTGACGGCTGCCAAAACATGAGGGGATGTGATCTGACTGCCCGTCCTTATCCTTTTAGACCTACTATACTTTTGTTTGCGTTTTACCCACGTGTGGATAACTGAACTTAATACGGACGAATCATATTTCACGGACTAATAAACCAACGCCCCGAGATGAAACGTAAAAAAGAAGAAAGATTTAAAAAAAAAAAAAAAAAAAAAAAAAAAAAGGAAAAGGGATGAATGCATCCGAGCGCCTATAACCTGCTGTTCTCTGTGGGTATTTCATGTTGAAAAAGAACTGTGATATTTTTACTTTACTTTCAAAGTTTTATAAATAATGTTTATTTGCCTATTTAAAACGATCTGCTCTGTCTCTTCGAATTTCATATTCATTTGCTTGGTGTTTTTAATACTTACCTTGTACACAGGTGAACCTGTTGAGCATGCGCGCTTTAGTGAAAATGTGTTTCCGTAAAAGAAAAAAAAAGTAAAGATAACTTAATAAAATAATTGTTGATGAAGAGAGTATAAATTTTAATTTTTTTTTGCATTGTCGTGTGGAAAAAAAGACACAAAGTGATCAATAAAATTGGAAAATATTAATATTGTTATATAAAATCCTCTTGGCTGTTTTCATGAAGAGAAAACTTTTCGTGATATCACACCGCTATATTCCCTGACACGTTTTAGAGCGAGGCCTAATTGGCCAACACGCTTGGTGTCCTGTAACGCAGGGTGACAGCGAGAGGTCACGGAGAGGCCGACTCACTAACCCGGATGATCTGCGAGAGAACTCATACAGATCAAAACACAGCAGATTGTGGAAATGAGCTTTAGACGATAGAGAAACAGGCATCTTAAGTCGCGCAAGTGTCCATTTTCCCAAGACACCCAGGCTGTGGTCTAGTAATCAGCAGCACGGTGCAAATGCATCTCTGCAACGAACATAAATAAAAAGGGTTACAGCCCCCCTCATGACAGGTTTATTATGGCTAAATCAGTATCATGTTTTGTTGAATTTGTGTAGCGCTAATGCACAAATATAGCATTATCTTACAATTACAAATTATGGGCTATCTGTTTATTTGATAGACTATTTTTCATTTAAATTGAAAACAGGCTTATGTTTTATGCTCGATTTAGCAGTCTAACTCCTTCAATGTAATTTCACACTATAGAGAATTAGCCTAACACAATATTCGCACAACAGCTACTACTCTCCTCTAGTGCTATAGCCTAAAGCTATTATATTTTCTGCAACAGGCAATTTTTGACTAACATAGATATTTACTTATTTTTGCAGCATCCTTCGAAATTTAAATCTGGGATTATAAAATCCTTCTCCAGGGTGAAAACAATATCAGTAAAATATATTTATCTGCACAGAGTAGTAAACATTTCAACTGGACTAAGAGACTTAAAATCAGAACAAATTGCTCACTGCTAAGCCCATATGTAGTGACAACCGGGATAAAGCAAAGTGAGCAAAAGCAGACAAAAGCAGAAGTTAAAGTTGAGCTTTTCCGACTGATGGGACAGACACCTGGTTCCCTCCTATTTGCAATTAATGAGGCAACAGTAACTTCTTAAACAGACAAAAGTCTGTCAGCTGGAACAACACAGAGGCTAAATCTGTATGGAGAGAGAGGAAACAAGTGAAGGGAAATAAATGGGGTTGGGAGGCTTTTTTTTTTCTTTCTTTCTTTTTTTTTTTACTTTTGCTGCCTCTCTTTCAAGACACGGGGACAAAATGGCTGAATATTTCCGTTTCTATTGAAAATAAGGACGACCGGGGGACTAGATGAAAAAGTCTTTCTCGCAGTCAATAAGGTTGTCAAACTGGTCAGCGGTAATCAGTGCTAATGATGGTCCCGGTCCCTGCTCAGACAAAAGGGGCCCTGCCGCTGTTTTGTGAAGGGAAGCGACCGCGGTCCCTCTCCAAAGAAAAGACTCCTGTGAGGGTAGTCTGGGGCACGGAAATCACAACTTTAGTGTGTGTGTGGGTGTGTGCGTGCGCGCGCGCGCGCGTGTGTGTGTGTGTGTGTGTGTGAGAGAGAGAGAGAGTGTGTGTGAGAGGGAGAGAGAGTGTGTGTGTGTGAGGGAGAGAGAGTGCGTGCGCGTTTGCGCGCGGTATAGCGTGAGCTCATGGCTTGGCCTATTAAAAGGATTTAATTACCAGTTGATTGTTTTCTTACTTGTAGTAGCCTGCTCATAAGCACAGCACATTGACTGAACGTCCGTAATTTCATAAATTATTTAGCAGGCTATAGTTTGTGGGCTGCTGTAAATCAGTTAAAATGCCTCATCTTTTTTTTTTCTTTTTCTTATTACTAACCTAACCTTGGCACACATCTCATCTTATATCTCAGTATGGTGTGCAGAACTTGTGCAAGTTGTGACAAGTTAAGGTTTGTTAGATAAGTGCTGTTAACTTGTGTAAGTAGATGCTCTATCAGCTTTGGTTATGACGAGTTGAAGGGCGCGCTGCAGCCTTCACTATACGTCTTCATTGTGATTGAATCTGTCAACCTCGCCCTGTGTGCAGACACTCTGGAGCGCACTATACTTTGTTAAATGACTTCATGTATGACAACTGGCTGTCTGCAGAACTGCTGCATCTGACTGAAGTGGAGCCGTATGCGTAGCTATTTTTGATAAAGCCACAAACTGGTTTAAAACTTTATAATGTAGGCTTAAACTAAAATGCTGTAGGTGCCTTATTAGCCTATGAGTTTATTATATTATATATAATAAGACTATAGACTACAGGTCGTAAATCCTTCCACCACTAGCACTAATTAATACTTTTTATTATTAATAACAATAATGATAATAACAGTAATGATTATGTAGCCTACATTTGTTTTGCAAGATAAATTGATTAGAAATAGGTCTAAGTACAAGAAAGAGCATTAAAAACAAATAAGTGAATAAATAAATAAAAAGAAAAAAAACATAAACATTATGCATTTACTCTCTTATGTTTTAACAATCTGTAGAGGACTGAACTGCTACATCACCAGAAAGCATTGTTTCATTGCTAAGACTGTGAACTCTAACCAGAGGAAGTATAACATGGAGCTATAAGGTGATGTATGTGCATTTTTTTGAAATATACTACACGGAGGAGACAGACAGAAGGTCACGGATACTGTACAGGCGGTTAAAAAACGCTCCATCTGTCTCCCCTTTTGAGCTGCCACACCAAACAAGGTGAACACAACAGTTGTGTAAAAGTGAATAGTTGCCCCCTCTTTTTTTTTCTTTAAATAAACGGGTTCAGATTTTTCTCCAGTTTCACATTGTGATCGTGGACGGAAGAAACGTTGAAGTGTCATCTCTGCTAAAAAACCTACCATCATGTTGTTTTGTTATTCCAAACCAGCATTTACCTCGGCTCTGTGCTCTGCTCTCTGGCTCGTCAGCCTGCTGTCTCTGTCATATGAATTTAATTATTTAAAATCATGACAATCTATGACAGTGGACTATAAGAGCCGATTAAGGACCCAACCTTGATAGGAACCCGTATTAGAGGTCGTTCACCTGTAGAACCTGCTGCCTTGCACACCTGCTTTCTGTGCGTCAGGAAGTGTAAAATCAAATATGGCACTCATAGACTCACTCCCGAAGTTTGTATTTGATGATGATATGCACAGTACCGGGGGCTTCAGAACACGCAGCATCTACAAGTAGCTCGGCGTTTATCTCCCTGCGTGTGGAGGTACAGTGATATCACTTTGAACATGGAGAGAAACCAGTTAAATATACGAGTTAAACTGGGCTCAGTGTTTTAATGTGTCTGCGGACCCCTGATCTTTACCGGCTGCGTCCATGCAGTGACACGACTGCACTGTCACTGTCTCAAAAACGTTGCTTTTGAGCGTAATCTTGGGGTTTTGCAGTTCGTTCAAAGAATGTACAGTTACATTTATTTTATTCATCTTGGGGAGGTATATGCTTGTTTTTAATCTTCTGATGCTCCTCCTTTGGTGGAATGTAACAGAGGACATTTACTCAAATGCAGTTTTGAGTATAGACTAACTGCACTTTACTTGAGTATTTCCATGATACTTAGCACAACTACATTTATCTGCCGGCCATTGTAGTTACATTGCAGATTCAAATTATTAACAGCCTACAAAATACACCCAGTGTCCACTTCATTCGTGAAAAATCTTCAATCCAGTACAACTGTTCTGCCATACAGTCTTCTTTTATGATGCCAGTAATGTTCAGTTTTTGGTCACACTGTCATTGAGGTGTTAATCAAGTTACTTGATGTAGCACCGAGCTAGTAGTCAGTGGTGGTGTTGTACTGGACTGCTGTTATACTCAGAGGTGTTTCTGATTCTGCCCCCCTCATGTATGTAAATGCAGAAAACCTCTCAAGGTAGCCTAGGTAATATAATCCAGTACAACACTAACCCAACTATTACCTCAGTAAATGATTGAATTTCACATTTATCCTACACAAAAACTGGACGTTATGCGCGCTGTAAAGACCCTGTTGTATGTTTTATGGCACATCTATTGTATCGGATTGCACTACATTGTACAGGTGTACCTAATAAATTGGCCACTGAGTGCCTGTAATGAACTGTTAAATCCCCATGGAGCCTATTATTGTATTGTTATGTTTACGTCAGTAAAAGATCTGAATACCTGTTGTTGTTGATGATGATGATAATAATAATAATAATAATAATCATCATCATCATAATCATAATCATAATCATAATCATAATCGTAATCGTACTATTATAATCCATTAGTATTGGACTTAGAGTGACATGCTCATGTTGTTAGATGTCAGTCGGCCTGGTCTGCAGCAGTGGAGGGCTGATACACTGATACTGTCACTCTGTCACATTTTCCCTCTCAACACGCTTCCTGAAGTGGTCGAGGTCACTCAGCAGGGGAAACTTGTCCTTTTCAGCAGG